GGTCTAATTTTATTAGTTAAAATGAGTATAATGGGAGTTATTTAATGTATTGGAACACCACATTGATGATTATAAAAGTGGTTGGTCCATGGGAGCAATTAATATCCAAAATTATCATAAATATAGTAGTTGGGAGAGGTTAATATGCATTAATGATGTTTTAAGGTGTTGTTAATGATAATGTACAATTATGAAATTTAATAAGCCTATTAGGTATGAATGGGTAGTGAGTATGAGTTGATAAAAATAGAGTGTGTGAAGTTTTATGTTGATGAAGCTTCAAGAGTTAGACAATGATGATATTTTTGTGGTATGGATGTAGAGAGGTTCATTTTTGGCACCATTCTAGCTTGTTGAAGCTTTGGAAAGTTGGTATAGAAAGGAGTAAACCTTTAACCTCTCAAAAGTTTAAGGTAACTGGGAGAAACTTAATCTTTATAGTTGAATGTTAATTGTGTTTATGAAATGTGAATTATGTGTTAAATTAATGATGAATATTGGCAAAGTGTTTGATTTGGGAAATGGTTTTTTTTGGAAAGAAAACCTTGATTTTGCCACCCTTGGTGTTTTATGAAATTGATTGTGATTTATTACTATAGGTGGAGAATTGTGATGAATTATGTGTTGAATTATGGAGTATTTGAGTTATGTGAGTTCATGTGTTATGAATTGATTGTTAAAATGCATATTATGTGAAACATGTGCATAGCATGATCATTGGCGAGAGTTCACCTAGGGAAAGGAGTAAATTGATTGAAATCCACGTGGTATTAGATGTAACCATTGGAATTAGGAACTAGCCTTGGCACCGACCGTTAGAATTGAGAAGTAGCTCATGTCCCATGGTTGATTAGGGACTATCCCATTTGTTCTATGAGGGACTCAAACCTAACTAGTTTCCACCAGTTTATAAGGAGGCTAGATTAAGGGTACGACACCTCATAGTTGTTAGGATTGGGGGAAATTAAATTACATAAGTGAGTGAGTTCACCCTGGCCAGGTAGCTCCTCACAGGTAGAAGGCTGGGTTAGTCCGTGAAGGATGTAGCCATGTGATAGCTATTGGTTTCTTGTCTGAGGTAACAAGAGGATATAAGGTTGGCATATGATCATATATATAAGTTCAGCCACATGGTTGTTAGTTTTGTGGTCCGGCATGTGTTGAGGGAGCATGGTTGTTATTTTTGCGACCCTATGTTATGTTTTGCAAAATAATATAATAAAGTGCTTTGTGGCAAGCCTGGTTACATGGTTGCTAGTTTTGTGAGCCGTGGCCGAGTGTTATGTGATATATGTGCTTATTTGCCTAATTGCATCTATTTACGATTAATATGCAACTGTATGGGTTAAGTGAAACTTAGTTACTTAGTGGTTGTACTTAGCCCTCAATTCTCAATATTTTTAGGACTTAGCTCACCGGATTTGAGTTAGGGAAAATATATAAAGACTTAGGATTTGTGGAGTAATCCTCTATATGCCTCTCTTTTGTTAATTTCATGTGTATTTGTTAATGTAATTGCCAACTGGGATTAATTGACATGATTAATGCACTACTTGCATGATTTGGTATATAACTAGTATATTTTGTGCCCTAGGTTAGTAAGTTTTAGTTGTGAACTCATGGATGGGGCTAAAATACTTGTGCAAGTTGAAACATATGTATTCTGAGAAATTTTAAATGAAATTGTTGATTTTGTGTAACATTTCCTCCCCCTTTATGTTTTGTGAAAATCAGGGTTGGGTGGTGATTTTATGATATAAGTGTTTTTGATTGTGTTTAGTGCATTGCACGAGTCCGTGAGAGTCCATTTAGTGTGGTTGGATGGTTGGTGTAAGTTATTGGCACATGTGGTTGAATTAGGACACCCCATTTATGAGATTTTGTGTAAAAGTGGTCAAAATAGGTTTTGGTGTCCAACTTTTTATAAAAAAATAACTTTGAGTGTGAAACCGGTGCTATTGGCTAGAGCTAGGAGAAAGCTCCATGTAGACATCAAAACCACCTCAATCAGACGTCAGATGGAGATTTGGGACATGTTAGAAATTCACACCCTGTGCTATTACATGACAGCACTGATCTGTCAAATTACATGCAATGCACTATGGTGCATGGCACAGAGGAGACACGCCATGGTACACATACTGTAAGCCATGGCACACGTGGCACTTTTTGCACAAAATTTATTTTTGAGTTTTAAAACTCATTATTATGGGTCCCAATTGATTTTCAAGCTTCCACTTTGCTTTCAAAACTCTAATTTGGACTTATTAAATCATGTTTGAGATTTGAATTGTCTAGATTGGGATTCCTTTGAAAGAATTTTGAGAAATTCCTTTTTATAAACTTTACAATGTGGTAATCCTTTAAGGGATAAACCCTAGATTACCATGATTTGGAGTCAATCACAATTTAACCTCAAGGAGGTTACAGTTTGGTATTAGTTTCTCTGGTTATTAAAACTGGACTGTGGATTTATGAATCAGGTCTGTCTTTGCTTGAACGGTGCATTTGCATAAAGAAAGTAGGGGTGTTCACGGGATGGGACGGGACCGGGACACCCCCGTCCCGTGTCCCGTCCCGAAAAAAAGATCGGGACTGAATTTTGGTCCCGTGTCCCGTCCCGTCCCGAAAGTTGTCCCGTCCCGTTAAGAGTCGGGACGGGACCGGGACAAGATCGGGACGTCCCGTAGTCCCGATAAATGGAATAATATTGAAAAAAAATCTAGATAATAACGTTTATTAAAATTTTAAATCATATAATTATTAAATTTAAAATCAAAACAATACAAGCACATAGATAACAATAATTTAAAATTAGTTATTGAATTATATTAATCACAACTACATATTATAATAACAAATACAAGTAATCTTTATGCTATAAGATTAGCAATAACAGGCAAGTCAAACACAATATTAAATCATTATTTTTCTACTTTAGTAAAGATGTACTAAGTTAATTACTCTTCTAAAAATAAGCAAGAAATATGTTATAAATAAAAGTTATTAAATAAATAGATATAAGAATAAATTATATTAATATAATTAATATATTATAAAAAAAGATATCGCCATGTTTACTCCATGCCATTAAAATTATCAATATAAAAAAACTTTAGTTTTAAATAAGAATTGCAAATATTAAAATTATAATTGATATAATTAATATAAGTATACATTATATTAATATAATTAATATATTTAAAATAAAAAATAATATATATAATATTCGGGACGGGACGGGACGGGACATCCCGATGGTAATCCCGTGTCCCGTCCCGTCCCGAACCCCTTTCCTGTCCCGTCCCGTAAAGTCCCGTCCCGATTATTTTTGGGCCGGGACAAGACCCGTCCCGATATGATCGGGACGATACCGGGCCAGTCGGGACGGGTCCAGACTGAACACCCCTAAAAGAAAGTTGGCAATTAACATTATACACATGTTCTTTTTCCCTTTGAGCTAGTGTTAACTATTTTCCTTTTATAGGATAATTTCTATCCTTACGAGGGAAGAATGGTGTAAACAAGAAATACTGGCGGTAACATTTCAATGAATGTATCCAGACAAGTGCAGGAAGTCTTGGTACAAGAGGAGAACATCGTCCTTAGTGAGCATGTTGAGATGGGATAAGGCTCGGGTCAAACTAGAGAGCAACCGAGACCTACAACAGGAAATGAGAATATATTGCTAGAATTGAGAAGCATGATAGAAAGAATTAAATAGAGAATAGATGAGCATGATGAGATCTTAAAGAAAAGACCGAAAGAGTCAAGCAAGACTATAGAGAGAGTTGGCGATCGTGGTGAAGTGAGAATCGAAAGGGAAATACTTGACTAACAAGAGGAAGATTATTATGAAGAAAGTGGACCGAGGAGGCCTGAACCAGTGAGGCCTAAAAGAATAGAGCAAGAGAGCTTTATTGATTAGCCTTAAAGAAGTTCATAAGTTTGAATCCTCTATCATTTGAAGGTTCTATAGAGGATAGAGCAGCTGAAAAGTAGATAAATCAGTTGGAGATGATCCTTTTCATTATGACCTGCATGGCTGAATAACGGATATTACTTACTACATTTTTGCTTGAGGATGCTGCCAAGCAGTGGTGGGAGAGTGTGAGACTGGCTGATGGGTCTTAGTTGACATGGAGTGAGTTTAAGAGGAGATTTTTCTCCTACTATTTTCCTGCCTCCTCCAGAGTTGAGAAAGAGGCTGAATTCCACCGACTGCAGTAAGGGAACATGAACAGAGAAGAATTTATAACTAAGTTCAACGAGTTGTCCAAATACTCAACATACTTGAGGAATCATGATGATGAGTACTAAAAGGTCAAGCAGTTACTTGAGAAGATGCAGCTTGATTATAGACAGCAGTTAGCACCCTTCGATATTGTCTTATATAGTGACATGTGTAGTAAGTTGAGAGAAGTGGCCAGATATGGCCATAAGGCTAAGGACAGCCAGAGGGGAGATGGTAGAGGCCATTTCTCTATGTATACAGGTCCTACTGGAGGTGTTGGTAAGAGAGTTAGATATAGCTTTGGACCATCTAGATTGGGCAACAGTAGTAGTAAGAAGAGAAGCTTCCAGAGGGGTTCACATTCTAGAGGTTCTCAGATGAGGAGTAATGCCCCGAGGAGTATGGGTGGGCTGAGTCAAGCTTCGAGATAGGTTCTGCTCCTATAGCAGTTGGACCAATTAAAGCCCCATAATGCAGCAAGTGTGGGAGACATCATACTAGGGAGTGCTAGGCATGTTTCAAGTGCCACAAGGTTAGGCACATCACTTGGTATTGCCCTGAGAATGGTCTTCACACCAATTAGAGGTCTGCTATTCCTGGTCGTGTGTTTGCTATAACGAGAGAAAAGGCTGAAGTTTCCCTAAAGCTTATTCGAGGTATGATTTCTTTAAGCAATCAATAAATTTTTTATTTTTTTGATTCTGGTGCCACTCACTCGTTTGTTTTCGATGAGTATGCAAAAAGACTAAGTTTTCATGTTGTTGAAATGCCTTTCATGATGAATGTGTCTGCACCCACTAGTGCTTCAATGAGAACCAGTCAGGCTTGCTTGAAGGTAGAGTTGAAATTTAGTGAAATAGTTACAAGTATTGACTTGATTTGTTTGCCTATGTCGGGAATTGACGTGATTATTGGCATAGATTGGTTGTCTGCTAATGGAGCGACATTAGACTGTAACAGAAAGGCGGTTTCATTACCAGTATATATGGCAACTACAGTGAATGATGGGACTACATCGCCTGTACCTGTTACTACTCCGGAGACTCCTAAGTTCTTATCAGCAGTACAAGTGAAGGAATCAGTGAAAGAGGGATGCCAAGCCTTTATGGTGTTATGCTTAGTACACAGAGTATATGATGGAGTATTAGACAAGATTGGAGTTGTCAATGAGTTTCTTGAGGTATTTGCAGACGAAGTATCAGGATTTCCACTAGAGAGAGAGATTGAATTCTCAATTGACTTGGTACCTATTACCAAGCCAATCTTTAAGGCTCCGTATTAGATGGCTCCAATGAAATTGAATAAGCTTAAGAAGCAACTAGAGGAGTAGCATGAGCTTAAGAAAGGGTTAGTTAGACCTAATGTTTCACTTTGGGGTTCGCTTATTCTGTTTGTCAGGAAGAAAGATGGTAGCATGAGATTGTGTATAGACTACTGACCACTGAACAAAGTGATAATTAAGAATAAGTATCCTTTACCCCGAATCGATGACTTGTTAGATCAGTTGGCTGGAGTAGTAGTATTCTCTAAGATTGACTTGAGATCGGGCTATCACTAGTTGAGAGTGAAAATTGATGATGTGCTGAAGACTACTTTCAGAATGAGATATGGGCACTATGAGTTTCTTATTATGCCCTTCGGACTACCGAATGCACCCACAATCTTTATGGATTACACGAGCTAAATCTTTAGGCCCTATTGGACAAGTTTGTAGTGGTCTTCATTAATGATATCTTAATATATACGGTTGATGAGGAAGAACATGCTAAGCATCTGTGAATTATGTTGCAAATTCTAAAAGGGAAGAAGCTTTATGTGAAGTTGAGCAAATGTGAGTTTTGGTTGTATGATGTGAAGTTTTTAGGCCATGCAATGTTGCAAAAGGTATTGTAGTTGATCCTTATAAGGTGGATGCGGTACTACAATGGGAAAGACTGACTTCTGTGATAGAGATCCAAAGTTTCTTGAGTTTAGTAGCATATTATAGAAGGTTTATTCAGGGATTTTCCCAAATTACATCTTCTTTTGACCAAATTGACTAAGAAAGATCATCCTTTCATATGGACCGACAAGTGTGAAGAGGCTTTCTAAGAGTTGAAGTAGAGATTGATGAATGCACCTGTGTTAACTATTCTAGATCCAAAATGACCATTTGTGGTGTATGCGGACGCTTCACTTAAGGGTCTTGGATGTGTCCTAATGCAAGATGATAAGGTTGTGGCATATGCTTCGAGATAGTTAAGACCACACGAGGAGAACTATCCTACCCATAATCTTGAACTTGTGATAGTGATGTTCATGCTTAAAATATGGAGACATTACCTTTATGATGCACGGTTTGAGGTATACAATGATCACAAAAGTCTTAACTATCTAGTTGATCAGAAGGAGTTGAATATGAGGCAACGGAGATGGATGAAGTTCTTGAAGGGCTATAATTTTGAATTGAAGTACCATCCTAGTAAGGCTAATGTAGTACTTGACACATTGAGCTAAAAGGCGCTACACGTAGCATTCTTGATGATGAAAGAGCACAAGATGCTAGAGGATTTCTCTAATGAGCACAATAATGTTCCTGACTTCGTGTCATACTACTTAAATGTCACGGTGATTACAAATGAGTTTTGGAAAGAGCTGAGAAAAGCACAATTAGAAGATAAATACTTGTTAGAAATCAGGGAGGACATTGAGGAGAACCGAATGACGGCTTTTAGTTTTAGTGATGATGGTTTTGTGTTGTATCACTACTATATGTGTGTTCTTGATGATAAGGAGATTAGAGAGACTATCCTATCAGAAGCTCATAGGAGTAAGCTAACAATCCACCTTGGTGCCACTAAGATGTACCAAGATATGAAGAAGCGGTGGTGGTGGCACAAAATAAAGTAAGATGTGACTGAGTTCGTTTCTTGGTGTTTGACATGTCAGAAAGTCAAGATAGAACACTACAAGCCACCTGGGTCATTACAACCTTTAGAAATCCTAATGTGAAAATGGGACAATGTGTGTATAGACTTCATAATGGGATTGCCACGTACTTAAGAAAGTCATAATGCTATATGGGTGATTGTAGATAGACTGACTAAGTCAGCTCATTTCCTAGCCATTAGAGCAGATTATATCTTAGAGAGATTTGCTGTGGTTTATGTTTAAAAGATAGTACGATTGCATAGAGTACCAAAAGAGATCATGTCAGATTGCAATCTAAGGTTTACATTGAACTTTTGGAGAGCTTTACACTAGGCTATAGGTACTAAGTTGAAATTTAGTATGACCTATCACCCCCAGACTAATAGTCAAACCAAGAGGATGATCTAAACTCTCGAGGATTTATTGCAAGTGTGTGCTATTGAGTTTAGTGAAAGTTAGGATAAACACTTACCACTTGCGGAGTTTGTCTATAACAATAGGTTCATGCAAGTATTCAAATGGTTCCATATGAAGCTTTATATGGTCAAAAGTGTCGATCACCTATTTATTAGATTGAGTTAAGTAAGAGGAGTATTTTGGGTTTGGATTTGGTAGATTAAACCACAGAGAAGATAGAGGTAATTTTACAAAAGCTATTGACTTCCTAGAGACAGAAGAGTTATGCAGATAAGAGAAGGAGACTACTAGAATTTATGGTTAGAGACCATGTTTTTTTAAAGGTATCTCCTATGACTAGTATTGGGAGTTCTATTCAAGCTAAGAAATTTAATCCCAGATATATTGGTCCATTTGAGATTCTTGATAGAATTAGGCCTTTGGTGTATCGAATTGCATTACCCCCACATTTATCAGGTTACATGATGTGTTTCATGTCTCATAACTTAAAAAGATCAATCCTATCCGTCTCACATTATTAAACTAGAAGAAGTGGAGTTATGGGAGAATTTAGCCTATCAAACTAAGCCGGAAAGGATAGCTAATGTGAAATATAAGCAGCTAAGAAACAAAACTATCTGTTTAGTAAAAGTGATATGGAAGGGAATGACTCCTAGTGATGCCACTTAGGAAATAGAGGAGAAAATGAGGTAACAGTATCCCTATCTTTTCCAGTGAGGTAAGATTTACATGATTCACTGAATTTTGGGGACAAAATTCCGAAAAGAAGGGGAGAGTTGTAACATCCAAAAAATTTTAACCCTAGTTTATTAACTTGATGAGGGTAATTAATGAGTTAAAGAGGTGTGTGGCTAGAGGGGCTTAACTTGACATAATTGTTATGATTTCAACCCTAGAAGTGGGTTTAGATCGATGATGGGCCACCCGGGCAAGGAAAGAGGAAGAAAAGTAAAGCATTGTTCTCTATGCCACACGTCGCAGCGCGTGGTTGGTTCACCATGGTGTACGGAGACAAATTTAAATGCAACGGGTTCCTTTATGCTAGGCGTTATGGTGGAGGGTAGCGTGCGCCATGGCACTGGGCAAAATTTTTAAAAAATCAGATCGTGTCTGTGTGAGAAAACAGAAGAGAAGGAGAAGAAGAAAAATAAGAGAACGCTGAGCTCTACTAGGGCATGCATATTGGCTTACATTGTTGACATTTTGAAGCTCCCAAACACTTATGGTAATTTTATGGTTCCTTCTTCTTCCTTTCTCTTCCTCATTTATGATGATTTATGGCAGGGTTTGAGTTGGTAGATGGATTTTCAGTCCATAAGAGTGAGTGTGGGTCCAATTCCATTAGTTAAAAATATAATGGGAGTTGTTTAATGTATTGGAATACCACATTGATTATTTTGAAAGTGGTTGGTCTATGGGAGCAATTAATATCCAAAAATTATCATAAATATGGTAGTTGGGAGAGGTTAATATGCATTAATGATGATTTGAGGTGTTGTTAATGATAATGTGCATTTATGGAATTTAATGAGCCTATTGGGTATGAATGGATAGTGATTATGAGTTGATAAAAATAGAGTGTGCGGAGTTTATGTTGATGAAGCATCAAGAGTTAGACAATGATTATATTTTTATGGTATAGATGTAGAGAGGTTTATTTTTGGCACCATTCAAGCTTGTTGAAGCTTTAGAAAGTTGGTATAGTGAGACATAAACATTTGACCTCTCAAAGGCTTCAGGTAACGAAGGGAAACTTAATCTTTATAGTTGAATATTAATTGTGTTTATGAAATGTGAATTATGAGTTAAATTAATGATGCATATTGGCAAAGTGTTTGATTTCTGAAATGGTTTTTTTGGAAAGAAAATCTTGATTTTGCCACCCTTGGTGTTTTATGAAATTGATTATGATTTATTACTATGGGTAGAGAATTGTGATTAATTATGTGTTGAATTGTGGAGTGTTTGAGTTATATGAGTTCATGTGTTAGGAATTGATTATTAAAATGCATATTATGTGAAACATGTGCATAGCATGATCATTAGCAAGAGTTCACCTAGGGAGAGGAGTAGATTGATTGAAATCCATGTGGTATTGGTAATGACCGTTCAAATTAGGAATTAGCCTTAGCACGACCGTTGGAATCAGGAGGTAGCTCATGTCCCATAATTGATTCGGAACTATCCCAGTTGTTCTATGAGGGACTCAAACCTAACTAGTCTCTATTGGTTCATGAGAAGGCTTGATTAGGGGTATGACACCCCACGGTTATTAGGATTGGGGGAACCTGGATTACATAAGTGAGTGAGTTCACCCTGGTCCGTAGCTCCTCACAAGTAGAAGGCTGGGTTAGTCTGTGAAGGACGTAGCCACGTGATAGCTACTGGTTTCATGTCGGAGATAATAAGAGGATATAAGGCTAGCATATAATCATGTATATAAGTGCAGCCATATAGTTATTAGTCTTATGGTCCGGTATATGTTGAGGGAGCACGGTTGTTATTTTTGCGAACCTGTGTTATGTTTTGCAAAATAATATGATAAAGTGCTTTGTGGCAAGCCCGGTTACATGGTTGTTAGTTTTGTGAGCCATGGACAAGTGTTATATGATATATGTGCTTATTTACTTAATTGCATCTATTTACGATTAATATGCAACTGTATGAGTTAAGTAAAACTTCATTACTAAGTGGTTGTACTCACCCCTGAATTCTTAATATTATCAGGACTTAGCTCATCAGATCTGAGTTGAGAAAAAAATACAGAGGCTTAGAATTTATAGAGTAATCCTCTATATGCCTCTCTTTTATTAATTTCATGTGTATTTGCTAATGTAATTACCAACTAGGATTAATTGACATGATTAATGCACTGCTTGCATGATTTTGTGTATAACTAGTGTATTTTGTGCCCTGGGTTAGTAAGTTTTAGTTGTGAACTCATGTATGGGGCCA